GTAACAGTTTTTTCAGAGTGGTTAGTTTATTTTTTCTAAAGCTTCGAAATGCGAGAAAGATTACAACTTTGTCTTCTGAGAATGCGCATTTAGCCCATCTGTATAAGATAGCTTTGGTGGCCGTGGTTTTGCCAATTCCTGCACGACCTGTGATGAGAATTTTGTCGCAAATTCGGAGAATCTCGGTGTTGATGTTAGTTGTGGTGTTACTGGTATTACTGGCGTTGCGACCAATAACGATCTGAACATTATCTGTTGGAAACAAAGAAACCAAACGGTTCTTGACCGAAGCCGGATCTTGTTTCAAATACAGGCTGTAAATCTCGTGCCTTTGTAGCCATTTGTCGCCCAGCTCGTTTCTATCAGTCACTAAATAGACAAAATGCGTGTGTTCATTCTTCCTAATTGTCTTTCGAATTCGTTTTAAAATCTGTCGAATTGTCAAGTTTCGTTTTTCGAGGATATACATGAAACAGAATTCAATATCACTTGCAAAATCGAAATCCTCGCGAAACCGGTATAAAAGATGAGCAATCTCTATAATGGCGAGGACACCTATGATGCAATCTGCACCCAAAACTGATGTTGCCAAAGTTTCAAATTTTTCTCCTAGTGGATTAACACATTCTACGGTGGTGACGTTAGATTGAGAAATGTGATTGCTTGCTGTTGTTTCTGCAGTTGTTTCACGAGGGGGCCATGAACACTTGAATTGTACTGGGAAGCTAGCTGGGTGAATTAAAAGCATAAACAAGATTACAGGCATCACACGACCGAGGAATGTAGAATATACAAAGGAAACACGAATATTCTTGCTTCTCTGGCACTTTCTTCTTGCCAAGATTCTTGAGTAGACTCGTTCATATGTTGACCTGTTTTAGATTCAAATTTCGCAACCTTGGAATTCACAACGCCAACGTAAGCGACAGAAATTGCCAGTATAAGACGAAAATTTATGACCACAAACCTGCTAACTGGCACCGAAAGATGGTGTTTCTTTTCATATTTCATATAACAGGTCGTCTCGACATAGTTCTTTGCCACCAAATCTGCTGCGATGGTCTTGTTAGGATTGCAACGAAAATGTGCTTTCTCGTTTAAATCGTATCCAACTCCGATCAAAATCGCAGCACAGAGAAAGATCACTGCTAAAATGATGCGACCGTATTTATTATAAGTTTTAGACGATAAAGGAATAAACGGCTGCCAGGATTCCATCTTAAACGATTGAAATGGTAGAACAGGACACAAGGTTTAAAGTTATGTGTATTCTCTTGTATTAACTTGTACTAATGATACCGTATATAATAAGATAACTGTCTAGATACTTGTCCAACCACTCATAACCGGAATTACACCACCTTGACTATGCAAATTTTGAATAGTAAATATCCCCTCCTGCTGGTAACGTAATCATATGCACATGTACTGATGAAAAATCCGCGACCTTTGCCCGTTTCGAACGTCTCAACACACGTATCGCATTCCACGCATAACGTGTTAACATTTTGCTCTATTTCATTCGGAAACGATACCTCGCTTCATTTTCATTATTATAATATTTATTACTATTATTTATTATTATAGAAAGATTACACATTGAATAGCTACAATAAGTAACTAAATTAGAACGCGCATTACATATATATAGAAAATATACATTAATTACTGAACTATCTAAATTAGGTATTATAAAAGTTTCAATAGAGATAGTTATATTAAAAAAAGAGAGTTATTAACAAAGGTTCAATTGGCGAAACAAATGGACTGATCCAAAAACTATCACTACGTGTTAAAAATGTTTCGATAAAAATATATAAAGTTATATTATATATTATATTATAAAATAGAGTTATTATTATATTGAACCATTAAATCATGACAAAAGGCTCTTGGGCAATGTTTCGTATTGAAGCAATCCTATATGGTTGTTTACTAAATGAAAACGTGATTTTACACACTTTATTCAACCCGAGACTCTAAAATACATGGTTTGGAGCTTTTTTACGACCCGCGACTTTTTACCCGCGACATTTTACCCGCGACATTCTACACGCGACTTTTTACCAGCGACCATTAGTCAAACTCATTAAATCGTGACGAAAGGCTCTTGGGCAATATTTCGTATTGAAGCAATCCTATATAGCTGTTCAGTAAATGATAACGTGATTTTTACACACTTTATTCAACCCGCGACTCAATAAAATACACGGTTTGGAGCTTTTTTACGACCCGCGACTTTTTACCCGCGACATTTTACCCGCGACCCGCGACATTCTACCCGCGACACGCGACTTTTTACCCGCGACCATTAGTCAAACTCCATTCAGTATTATTATTAGGTTTTTTGTCAGTTAGCCAAGCAAAACAATATTCCTAACCTGTGATTAATAAGGGACTGGTCATAAAGTAACTGCCAGTCTATTGCCAACGAAGGTCCATACCGATTTCCATACAATTTCCATGCTATGACCTTCTATAGATTTTCAAAATTTTCTTCAGTCTTTCTCACGAGACTGCATTGTAGAAGATGGAATTACAAATTTTCAAGCAATTCATTCCAGTCATATTAACATATGTCCTTTTCTACAAACCAGATGTGTTCATAACTGAGTGTCCCTATATGTCGTGTGTCGTGGGTTAAAAGTCGTGTGTCGTGGGTAAAGTCGTGGGTAAAGTCGTGGGTAAAGTCGTGGGTAAAGTCGTGGGTAAAGTCGTGGGTAAAGTCGTGGGGTCATAAAATGTGCTAAAAACGCATTTTTTCGTATTTTTATTTTTAATATTTTTTTCGTACTTTTTCCTTCTATGCGCTAGATAAATACAGGAAAATTTAACGCAACAAATCTCCAGTAATAAAACAATTTCTTATCTTGCTGTTACTTTCTAAATGTTTCCGTTTCGTATAGTCTTATAATAAATCTATAAATGTATTGTTTGATAATAAAATGTCCTAAGTTATAGGATATTAGGATATAGGTTTATTAGCTTTGGAAGTGTTATATCCCTATCATGAACGTCGCGAGTAACTATGTCGATTGCATATGTCTTGATGCAAACATATTGAGCTATAAATTCTACGTGGCCAACGCTCGAGCCTCAAATTTTGCTATTTTATTTCCTAGACCTAGTATATGTTCGTGGCCCTTAAAAGTAGACAAACATTTCATGTGTATGTGGCGTTCGGAAATATTCCATAAATTGCTACGATTTGGGATTTCGCGATTGAAAACCGAAATGATTTGTGTGATGTCGCCATGTCGAGCTATTTGCCAACCGAGCGCGCTAGCCGCTGTTATTTTGACAGAATATGATACCTCAACACTTTTCAGCCGTAATACATAATGCGCGGATTGTACTCATATACATATCGTTCAATTTAGCTTCAAAAACTTATTTTGTTAAATGTAAAATGCGCAGCATGTTGCGTACATTGATATCAAAGTTGACTTTATTAGACTGAAATAAGCAAGATTTCCCGTTATATACATGATTTATACCGAGGCGGCTTTGCATGTGCTCTGCCTCTGGCAATTATGACACCATTGCGCTCCGCGGGAACCAACACGAATAACATTTTTTTATCAAATTTTTGAAGCTAAATTAAACGATATGTAGCCTATATGATTACAATGCGCGCTGAAAATTACGGCTGAAAAGTGTAGAGGTATCATATTCTGTCGAAATAACAGCGGCTAGCGCGCTCGTTGGCAATTAGCCCGACATCACACAAATCATTTCGGTTTTCAATCGGGCCGATCCGAAATCCCAATTTCCCAAATCGTAGCAATTTATGGAATATTTCCGAACGCCACATACACATTAAATGTTTGTCTACCTTTAAGGGCCACGAACATATACTAGGTCTAGGAGATAAAATAGCAAAATTTGAGGCTCGAGCGCTAGCCACTAATTATACAGGCACTGCAGCGTAAAATTTATAGCTGAATATGTTTGTATCGGACATATGCAATCGACATAGTTATTCGTGACGTTCATGATAGGGACTATAACACTTCCAAAGCTAGCTGATAAACCTATATCCTATAACTTAAGACATTTTATCATCAAACAATACATTTATACTCTATAGGCTTATTAGACTATACGAAACGGAAACAAAATCAAACATTTACTTGTTATACTATAGATAACAGCAAGATAAGAAATAATTTTATTACTGCAGATTTGTTGCGTTAAATTTTCCTGTATTTATCTAATGCATAAATGGAAAAAGTACGAAAAAAATATTAAAAATAAAAATAATATCTTGAAAAAATGCGTTTTTAGCACATTTTATGACCCACGACTTTACCCACGACTTTACCCACGACACACGACTTTTAACCCACGACACACGACACACGACATATAGGGACACTCTTCATAACTTCATAGCTAATTGTTGATGTAAGGTTGAGTTCCAATCAAACGATGATGAGAGCTGCATGGTATATGCACGGGGCACATTTTATGTTCTACAAACTAAAGGTTTCATGAGTGTTCCAACTACGTTTTAACTCTAAAACAATACGTGATAAAGTTGTTGGCCCCCTATATATATATAGAGGGGGAGCACATAGAGGACATAGTGCACGGCGGCGCGAAGATATGACTTTTATCTTCGAGTGGTGAAAATAATATTTTACGTACGAGCGCAGCGAGTGAGTAAATATTGTTTTTAACACAAGAAGATAACGGAGTCATATCTTCAAGCCACCGTGTAATGGCCAGTTTATTATATAGTCCCAAGCAAAAAATTGTGAAATTTCACGCTCAAACGCAAATTGGAAAAGTCACGTAATCGATATCTTCACTAGTGAAGATATGGAAAATATCTCACTGTAATAAAAGATGATATCAAATGTCTTGAACTGGATTCAATTACAGTAGTTGGTTAACCTAACGTTGCCGAGATATATTCAATAAACACATTTTCCACGTTTATGAGACCCACGTACTGCCGGAGAAAGCAAGACAGAATATATAGGTAAGGATTTGCTACGAAAATCAGGTTTAATCCATATATACATATCTATATTGAAATTGCATGTGATGTGTATCAATCTTGCAAGATTAAAGTATTAAACATTGGCTTAATAAAGAACCGTTTAAACTGTTCCAACATTTCCAACGTCGTTCAGCCATGTTGGACACAATGGTGGATGGAAATAGTGTAGTAAAAGCCTACTCCAACATCTCCCAAACATAACTGAACCCATTGTGGCTTGACATATGATAAGCGACATTTGTCTGCCTTCTGTGACTTTAATACTTTATTGGGGGTCAACTTTTGAACAGGGGTCAACTAAAACAAGAAAGAAATAATATGACTGTCAACGCAACTTATTGCTGCGGAGCGACGATATTAAAATCTTAAATGTGCCGTATGATTTAATTATGTTTTAGGATTTACAAATGCTTTGTCATTTGTATTTAGACTTGTACTGCATCACAAGGCAGTACGTAAGTGAAAAAATTCCACATGTGAGATTGTCTTGTATACATTTTTGCTTTCTTTGATAAACATTATTAAACACGCAAATTTTAATTAGTGAGACGCAATGTTAAATGTCACCTGCATGTCATTGTCATTGCCCTTTAACCCCTGGTCTAATTGGCCGCTTTTGAAAATGCTGATCATGACGAACCGCACTGCCTTAATTATGCAAATTTTGTGCTTTAAAAACGGGTTAGGATAAAACGCGGATACGGACGGACGGATGAATGACGGACGGACGGACGGATGGCGACGGACGGACCGGACGGATGACATATATATACAATACAATACAATTTTATTCAGTACCGGTAGTAATACATACATAAATATAAAATAAAGATAAAGTTACGAAAAGAAGGTACTAGCTAACTGTAATAACCAAAAGGCTAATCGAGACAGTCAGCGAATTTGATTAGTAACAAAATATATTTTAGTGGGTAAACTGAATAAGTAAAACACATGCAATAAAGATTTCAAAATGGACAATTTTGATGCTATAAGCTAATATGAATTCAATATATTATTTTTAAGTTTGTGTTTAAACTGTGATTTAGAAAGACCCTTAAGATTTTCGTCAATTGAATTCCACACATTACTGCCAACAAAGCATATATTAAATTTTCCATAGTTGGTTCTTACTTTTGGAAGGGAGTATGACGATCTCGAAGCAAGTCTGGTGTTATAGTTATGTTTTTGGCTTACTAATGCAAAATACTCATCAAATACGTGAGGAAGTCGACCTGTATGAAAGTCGTACATAAATAGTGCATTATGATAAAAAATAAGGTCATGAAACTTGAGAAAACGAAGTTGAATGAAGAGAGGGTTAGTATGATCCTGATAGTTAGAAAATGTTATTAAACGAATAATCTTTTTTTGTAGGATAGCTAATGGATTCACTGTTGTATTGTACGTGTTACCCCAAGCAACTAGAGCGTATGTAAGAAATGGATAGATAAGTGAATAATATAAATTAATAAGAATATCCAAGGTCACAAAATTACGTATTTTTGAGATGGCTCCAATATTGCGCTTTATCTTTTTGGAGATTTCTAAAACCTGAGCTTTAAAGTTTAGGTTAGCATCTATCACTACACCCAAATATTTGAAATTAGATGTTTGCTTCAATAATTTATTGTTAATCGTTAATTGGATACTAGAAGAAATTTTTTTCTGAGGAGGGTGAAATATAACAAAGTTTGTCTTATCGATGTTAAGCGACAATTTGTTAACACAGAGCCATTTATTTATATGCTCAAGTTGACTATTTATAGTAGATTCAAGAATTGGTAGGCTTTTATTATCAAAGAATAAGCTTGAATCGTCAGCAAAAAGAAAAAAGTCAAGAATTCTGGAGGAATTACAAAAATCATTTATATAGATT